CTTCACTTCCATCGCTTTAATTGCAAATCTTCTTTGTGGCAGATGGAAATTTCAAGAAATTCTCTAACATATTCTATATCTGATGTATTTTTAAAAATCACTAATATAGGGTTGGAAGTACGCTATTAAACCCCTCCAGTCTTTTCAACCATTCAAATAAACCATGACAGGTATACAAACATTCATACAAACATACAACCTGACAGGCAATACATATAGCCACCTTTGACCCATATTCTTTTATACCTGAAAGTTTAAGAACGTTTCCCCACAGATGCTGCCTGACCTGCTGAGTGCTTCTGGTATTTTCTGTTTTTATTTTTGGATTATCATCTGTTCAGTGTTGGTAACTGACAAAAAATTAAATATTAATTTTGTTGCACATCAGGAAAATGTACTTGTTGTAATACTCCATACCTATCTAGTGTTACAGAAAATGCTAAATTAGATTTAAATGAATCTAGTGATTTATTATAAGTTACTACCGGGATACTGGTTCTCCACAGCGTTTCTCAAATTAAGATGAATGTCTCACAAAAGGTTAATTTTTTATATGGACTGGATTACAGAAATTAAACTTTTTTAAAAAGTAATCATGCATCATCTTGAAAATGTCTTAATTGTTCACAATGTTAATTATTCAAGAAATGCCATGGAATTCTGTTAAAAAGAAATGCATCCAAAGAGAAAGCACATGGGAATAAATACTTTTGTCACTAACTACAAAATAACCAAAGACTTCTTTTAATGGAAGGGTATTACAGCTCAAATGCTCTTTAAATACTCTTCATATTTAAATTACAGTTCTAAAGTAAACATATTCATCGTTATCCAAACAGTAAAACCTCATTGAAACCATTCTAAAGGTAAATAAATCTTTTGAATCATTTCACCAGCTGCATGAAAATCTAGATTCAGATGCAGCCAGGGGAGAAAATTAGAACTGTTGAATGGCACCATTCCTTTTTAGCAGGCAATTGCAGAAATTGCAGCTATAACACATGCATGCATACACATCAGTTGACGTCTTACAATATTGAAAATCTTTCTAAGTACTTTGCTCAGGAAAAAAAACAGTTAAATGACAGACTATAGCACTGGGGAATACAGATGTATTTCAATCCCCACTTGAAGGTCATATGTTCTGTCTTGTTTGTCTATTTCTATAAAACTATATGTTCTTATTTATATAGTAAGAACAGTAACAGCTTTAAGTGAAGGCACCTTCGTTCCATCCAACCCAGCCTCTTACTTTTTGCTGGTACATTACATTGTGACATAAGAACATAAGAACTCGGAGCAGGAGGAGGACATTTAGCCCCACGAACCTGCTCCATCATTTGATACAATCATGACTGATCTCATCTCGGCCTCAACTCCACTTTTCTGTCTGCTCTCCATGACCCTTCATTCTATTACTAATTAAAAATCTATCTCCTCCATAAGTTTATTCACTATCCCAGTATCCACCACACTGAATTCCACAGATTTGTGATTTTTTGAGAGAAGCAATTTCTCATCTGTTTAAAATCTGCCACCGCTTATCCTAAAACCATGTGACTTCTCATTCTAGATTGTCCCACAAGGGGGAGCATCCTCTCAACCTCTACTTTGTCAATCCCCTTTAGTATCTTATATACCCTCAACTGGATCTCCTTTCTAAACTCCAGAGATTTGAAGAAAGAGATCAGTCTGAGACTGGTACAGTTGGGAAAAGGAGCAAGTCAAACAGTCAGGTCAAGCAGGAACAAAGCAGAGAACAAGGTAAGACTGATAAATTTACTTCAATGCAAGAGGCCTGACCGATAAGGCAGATGAACTAAGGGCATGGTTGGGAACACGGGACTGGGATATTATAGCCATTACAGACACGTGGCTCAGGGATGGCAACTTAATGTTCCAGGGTATAAATGCTATTGGGGGGGGGGGGGCGCGCAGTAGCGCAAGAGGAGGCGTGGCATTTTTCATTAGGGATAACATTGCTGCTGTACTTAGGGGGAATATTCTTCAGATCATCCAGTGAAGTTATATGGGTGGAACTGAGAAATAAGAAAGGGAAGATCACCTTGTTGGGATTGCATCATCATAGGCCACGTCTGGCAGTCGGCAGAAAATTAAGAAGCAAATATGTAAGGGGATCTCAGACACGTACGAAAAATAGGGTTGTAATGGTAAGAGATTATAACTTTCCTAAAATAGACTGGGACTGTGATTGCGTTAAGGGCTTGGCTGGGGACAAACTTGTTAAATGTGTCCAAGAAAACTCTTATTCAATATGTGATGTATTTACTACAGAAGGAGCAACACTTGACCTTCTGTTGGGAAGCAAGACAGGGCAAGTTACAGAGGTGGGGGAGCTCATTGGGGCAAGTGATCACAATTCTATGAATTTTAAAATAGTTATGAAAAAGGATAAAACTGATCAAAAGTCAAAGTTCTAAATTAGATGAAGGCCAATTTTGACAGTATTAAACAGGAACTTTCAAAAGTTGATTAGATGAGGCTATTTCCAAGTAAAGCGATGGTTGGGAAGTGGGAGGCCTTTAAAAATGAGATAATGAGTGTTCAGGGAGAGTATTTTCCTGTTAGGGTGGAAAGCAAGGCTGGTAGGTGTCAGGAACGCTGGATGACTAGAGAAATTGAGGCTCTGGTCAAGAATAAGGAGGCAGCATGTGTCAGGTATAGACAGCTGGGTTTGAGTGAATCCCTAGAGGAGTATAAGGGTGATAAGAGCACACTGAGGAGGGAAATCAGAATGTCAAAAAGGGGACACGAGATAGCTTTGGCAAATATAGTTAATTAAGGAGAATCCAAGCAGATTCTGTCTAAGTACATTAATGGCAAAGGAGTAACTAGGGTGAGCATAGGGGCCCTTAAGATCAACATGGTCGTCTATGTATGGAACCACAGGAGATGGCTGAGATACTAAACAAATATTTCATGTTAGTGTCTAATTTGGAGAAGGACATGGAAGCTAGGGTACTTGGGGAAATAAATAGTGATGTCTTGAAAAGAGTTCATATTACAGAAGAGGGGGTGTTGGAAGTCTTAAAACACATGGTACATAAATCTCCAGGACCTGGAGAGAGAACTTTGTGGGAAGCTAGGAAAGAAACTGCTGGGCCCCTTGCCGGGATATTTGTATCATTGACATGGGTGAGGTGCCAGAAGACTGGAGGTTGGCTAATGTGGTGCCATTATTTAAAGAAAGGCTATAAGGAAAAGCCAAGGAACTATAGATCAGTGGGCCTTATGTCAGTGGTGGTTAAGTTGTTGGAAAGGACTCTGAGGGACAGGATTTATATGTATTTGGAAAGGCAAGGACTGATTTGGGATAGTCAGCATGGCTTTGTGCATGGGAAATCAGATCTCACAAATTGGATTGAGTTTTTCTAAGAGGTGACAAAGATTGATGAAGGCAGAGCAGGAGACGTTGTCTACATGGACTTCAGCAAAACATTCAACAAGGTTCCAGATGGTAGGCTGGTTGGTAAGTTAAATCATATGGAATCAGGGGGAGCTAGCCAATTGGATACAAAATTGGCTCAAAGGTAGGAGGCAGAGGGTGGTGGTAGAGGGTTGCTTTTCAGACTGGAGACCTGTGTCAAGCAGTGAGCCACATGGATCGGTGCTGTTTGTCATTGATATAAATGATTTGGATGTGAATATAGGAGGTATGCAGATGAAGTTTGCAGATGACACCAAAATTGGAGATGTAAGGGACAGTGAAGAAGGTGATCTCAGCATACAATGGGACCTTGATCAGATGGGCCAATGGGACAAGGAGTTGCAGATGGAGTTTAAATTTAGATAAACATGAGGTGTAACATTTTGGTAAGGCAAACCAGGGCAGGAGTTATACAGTTAATGGTAGGGTACTGAGGAGCATTGCCAAAGAAACCAAGGGGTACAGGTAAAATTGGAGTCACAGGTAGACAACGTGGTGATGGCAGCATTTGGCACGCTTGCCTCCACTGGTCAGAACACTGAATATAGGAGCTGGGATGTCAAGTTGCGGTTGTACAGGACAACGATGAGGCCCCTTTTCGAATACCATGTACACATCTAGTAGCCTTTCTATAGGAAAGATGGTATTAAACTTGAAAGGGTTCAGAAAAGATTTACAAGCATGTTGCCAGGACTGGAGGCTTTGAGTTATAGGGAGAGGCTGAATAGGTTGGGTATCTTATTCCCCTGAAGTGTCAGAGGCTGAGGGATGACGTTATAGAGGTTTATAAAATCAAAAGGGGCATGGACAGAGTTAACAGCCAAGGTCTTTTTCCTAGGGTGGGGGAGTCCAAAACTAGAGGGCACAGATTTAGGGTGAAAGGAGAAAGATTATAAGACCTGAGGAGTAATTTTTCACACAGAGGGAGGTGCGTGTATGGAACGAGCTGCCAGAGGCAGTGGTACAAGTGGGTACAATTACAACATTTAAAAGGCATCTGAACGAGTGTATGAGTAGGAAGGGTTTGGAGAGATACGGGTCAAATGCTGGCAAATGGGAATAGATCTGAGGAAGGACCCGAAACGTTAACTCTGTTTTCTCCTTCACAGATGCTGCCAGACCTGCTGAGCTGCTCCAACAACTTTGTTTTAGGTCAGATTAGGATATCTTGTCAGCATGGAGGAGTTCAACTGAAGGGTTTGTTTCTATGCTGAACAACTTTTTGACTCTATAATTAAGTCTGAGATTCCTTTAACTGGATATAAAATGGAATATTATAGTTATGGAATGTCATTATATCAACAGATCATGTTAGAATCAGTTATCTGTTCTCTCCTTTGAACCATAAAGATTAGATTAAATTTTCAGGAATTTTTTGTTCATTTTTCAATAAATCACAATTGTCTAAAGCCTTTAGTCAATAAAATGGTTTGAGGAATATGAAACAATACAGCTCTCCTTGTAGTGATTCACTTGCATAGCTTAGTAAAGAAAGAATACAAAGTATTGGAATATTTTCTTTATAAAATATATAAACAAATTATCTTCATACCTTATTTATAATAATTACAATCTCTCCTTCTCTGATTGTCAACTCATCATCATTCTGTGCCTCATATGGGAATAGTACTTTGCAATATTCTTTACCTGAAATCAAGCAAGCGTAAACCATTGAACAATCAGCATCCTAGACTGAGGTAAATAACTTGTCAGTTTTTAACATTTTCAAACTTGAATGTTTCAGTCCAGTTGCATTTTATGACTGAGTCTCTTTTGCATGTTAAGACTGAGGAAGCCAAACTGATAAATTAATTCCAAATGAAATAGTTTGTTGCACTTGTGTGACATTTCACATCACCGTATACAATTCATCACAATGACCGAGTGAAACGAGTTCATGTATATCTTTAGTAATGTCAGTGAAAGCAATGGCTACACACCTAACAACACCCAGAATTTAGGGCGGCATGGTGGCTCAATGGTTAGCACCGCTGCCTCACAGTTCAGACACCCGGGTTCATTTCCACCCTCAGGCAATTGTCTGTGTGGAGTTTACATATTCTCAGCCTGTCTGCGTAGGTTTCCTCTAGGTGCTCCAGTTTCCTCCCACAGTCAAAGATGTGCAGCTTAGATGGATTGGCCATGGGAAATTCAGGGGTATAGGGACAGGATTAGGGGTGTGGGTCTGGGTGGGATGTTCCTTGGATGGCCAGTGTAAAGTCAATGGGCCAAATGGCCTGCTTCCACACTGTAGATTCTAGATTGATGATTCTATCTATTACTGGAACTTACATTTGACTTTTACACCAAACTGCAATTTTGAATAAATACACACACAGTCTTTTAGTCCAGAGAAGTGATTTGTCTAATTAATCTTACATAGTCTAATTAATTTAACACAGACAATTACACTCAATTTTACTTTTCTTTGATAGCAAAAGTATTTTTTAAACTCCACAGTTATAATTTCACATTACCAGTTCACTATTACTAGTGTACTCATGTTCACCAACTTAAGCTGCTCTAAGCATCTGCTTTTAATTAGAGTAATTTATATAACCCAGCAAATACTAATGCAGTAGACTTAAACATCAGCACAAACTTCCAACAAAATAACACAACTGGCACTGCTGTTGAAAGGCAAGGATGTCAACAAAGTTTAGAAAGTCAAATTAGAAAACCTGAGCACTTCCAAAATTAATTTCTAATTCAATGTTTGAAGCTGCTTTGGCAACTAGCCTATTAAAACTTTATGAAAGCAGCCAACTATTGGAAAATCTGTTACGTTTTGAAGAAGGAACAGTTAGGTAAACACTTGGTGGTTTCAGTTTCTCACTGAAACTAAACTTAGTATCATTTAGGTATTAAGACCTAGCCTACCTCCAAAACAAAAAGCATAAAATGAGCAGTTATTTCAGTGAGCCTCGCTCTACTTTGTCCAGTGTTACACTGGACCCAAACATTAGGTTCAAGCTGGATCTGTATTAAGTCTGGTGGCAGTGCAATGGTGGGACACACTGCACCAAAAATTACATTTGCAATATAAATGAACTCTTCAATTCCCCTGTCTCAGATGAAGATCAGGCAAGGGTTTTATAAAAGTAGAAACCAAGGTAAAGTTACTGTCTTGTTTTAAAATTTACAACTTTAAGTACCAAATATCATCAGCAAAAGTTAAGAGAAGTCGGAATATTTTATTTGAGCTTAATTTTAGAAGCTACTCAAAGTATGTTATTCCATTATTACTCACCCTTAGGTCTGCTGTCTGATTCAGACTTTGTAGGTTCCTGAGAAGACACAGCTGAAGCTAACTTTTTTCCAGAAGTCTAAAACAAACAATGCAATAAATTATACAGCTGACAACATGTGCTCTTCCTACCTTTACAACACTCCTACATCCTTGACTTCACAAATGAATGGTTACAGCATGATATCCAGAGATAAATGCCATGCATACGATTTTATGGAACCTTACAGCACAGAAAACAACCTATGCTGTTTTTTTTTTTTAAATTTACCAAGCAATTAGTCCAACCCTCCTGTTTCATTCCAGTAAGTTTGCATGTTTTCCTTTCAAATGTATTTATCCAATTCCATTTTGAAAGTCATTGTTGAACCTACTTCCATCACCCTGAGGCACAGTGCATTCCAGATTATCAAAATTCAATAAGTAAAACAAATACTTCCCCAACACTAAACAAAAAGAACTACAAATGCTAAAATTCAAAAAAAAAAGCAGAAATCACTGGAAAAATTCAGTAAGCCAGGCAGCACCAGTGGAGAGAACACAGAGTTAACATTTTAGGATGAAGCAACAAAACTCAATAGATCTGGTGAACATTGAAACCCAATTCATAGAATGATAAAATCCCAACAGTGTGGAAACAGGCCAATCAGCCCATCGGTTCACACCGACCCTCTGAAGAGCATCCCGACCAGACTCACCTCCCTACTCTATCTCTGTAACCCTGCACTTCCCATGGCTAATCCACCTAGTCTACACATCGCTGGATACTATGGGCAATTTAGCATGGCCAATCCACCTCACCTGCACATCTCTGGACCATGGGAGGAAATCAGAGCTCCCGATGGAAACTTCATACAGACAAGGAGAATGTGTAAACTCCACACAAAGTTGCCCGAGAGTGGAATCAAGTCCAGGTCCCTGGTGAAGAGACAACAGTGCTAACCACTGAACCACTATGCCACCCACTACAGTTCTTCTAAACTCCAAAGAATTACAGGCCCAACCTACTCAATCTCTCTGCAAAAGACAGTCCCTCCATACCTGGCATCAGCTAGTGAATCTTCTCTGGACTGCCTTCAATGCCTGTTTATCTTTCCTCAGGGGCCTAAATCTATTCACAGTATTCTTTGATTTTCCTAGTACCACTCTTAATAATGGACTCTAGCATGCTCCCTATGACTGAGGTCAGTCTAGACAGCTTGTAGTTCTATTTTCTCTCTTCTTTTTTGAGCAAATCTACCTTCACACCTTAGAAGTTGGCAGCCGATACTTGAGAACTTCCACGTTCCTGTTTTCAAGGGCTGGAGTGTCTTATAAGCATGATTACAGGAGGCACAATGCCTGTCCTCTGCGATTACAGCTAGTTCATGGATGACAATCTTTTCTGAATGTCATTTCAGGAAGACAATCTGTAACTTATAAACTATTACATTATCCTTTGACCGAGATAGAGCATAGTTACAGTGCAGTCCATGAATGGTCATGGTGGATCAGGTGTCCTGAAGATGAGGTTGTGCTGCTTGTATTGATTTTGGAGGCCACAAAGTATACCACATATTCCTAGCTCTGCTCTGCACTGCTCTGCATGACTGAAGGAGGCAAAGATGGAAGCTGATGAATTGGGAGAGCAGCAGCATCTTCTAAGGTGGAAGACATTGAACAGAGGGAACATTTTCCACGATACTGCGAAGCAGTTTTAGGAGCTGCAAGCCAGACAGAATTCAATTGACAACTAGCTCCATTACATGAAATTTAGGGGCCATGATCATTCTTTGACTGTAAATGTGTTGGTGCTCAAAAAAAAAAAGCAGTCAATTTCTGTTCTGAGAAGCAAATGGAGCTTCTGTTTGTTTGTTTAGTGAGCTCTTTCTGGTGCTGAATAAAACTGAATGCTGTGAAGCTTTTGCAGATATTCCAATATGTGATGGTCCCACATTGAACCATAATGATGCTGGGCTACACTGGATATTGTGGAAAGAATAGCATAGGCTTCAACAGAGTTGAAAGATGGGATGTAAAAGACAGGTAAACTGTGTGGCTTTGTGCTTAAACAGCAATAAATATATAAATGTGCACTTGATGTGCAATGAAGCGTCAGCCATGTGCCCTGAGAAGTGTTACTTTGAGGTCTCTGTCCCACTGTGTGCATGGCGAAGAACACCTCCATATAGCCAACATTTGATCAGTTGCATAGCTAGTGATGACACTAGTGCAAGGGATATTGAGATAGCCCAGCAGTGGCAACAACTTCTACCTACAATGAGTGGGGAGATAGGACAAGCAAGATGCCATGGGCGGTGCATAATGAATGCAACAGCATGTGAAAACTCTCCATGAAACATGTGGAAATTTACACCTACCTGGTTTCCAGTAAGATTAGGCCAGCTTTGTCTGCAGATAGCTTAAAGATGTACGCAATTAGCTGTTGAGGATCTGTCAGCTTTTAGCCCCATCATTTTTTCTACTACTTTGTCCCAATATGCCTTAGTTAAAGACTCCCCCATAAGTGGAAATATCTGGTCAACATCTGCACTGTCAAGCCCCTTCAGAATCTTTAATGTTCAAATAAGGTTACATCTCATTCTCCTAAATTCTAAAGAATGAAAGCATAATCAGCTTAGCTGTTCTTGATAAGTCAACACCTTCATTCCAGGAATCAGCTTGGTCAATCTCTACCGAACAGCCTCTAATGTCAGTATATTCTTTTTAAATAAAAGGACCAAATTCATACACAGAAGTCCAGCTTTATGAACACCCACAGCTGTAACAAAACTTTCCATTTTCAAACTCCAACTTGTTTGCAACAAAGGCCAAAATTCCCTGTACTTTTTTATAACGTGCTGCATCGGAGTGTTCTTATTACATTTGGTGCACAACAGCAGTCACATCCCTCTGTGCTGCATATTTTTGGAGTCTCTCTGTTTAAATAACAGTCTGCCTTTTGATTCTTCTAACCAAAGGGCATGACCTCACACTTTCCTACAGTAAACTCTATCTGCCAAATTTTGTGCACTCACACCATTTACTGGAACACCTTTGCAGATTCCTTGCATCCTCATCACATGTTTCCCCAGATATTGTTTGTATTGCCAGCAAGTTTTGACACACTGACACCCTCTTTCAAGTCACTACTGTAGATAGTAAATAACTGAGATCTTGGAGAGATCTATGTAGCACTCCACTAGTTACATCTTTCTAACCTGAAGGAGACCGATTAATCTAGACTCTGACTTGTGTGCTAACTAATCCCCAATCCATGCAAACATATTACCCCTAATACTGTGAGCTCCAGTTTTTTGTGTACCTGATCGAATGCTGAAAGCCAAAAGACAACGCTTCTGAGTTTTCCGAACACTTTTAAACTAATTTAACTCTAAGTTGCAAAAGAAGAACATTTCACTGGACTGACCTTGCTGTCAGTTCTTTAGTTAGTTAGGCCACCCCTTAACTGCTTGAGGCAACATGACCCTATATTTTAGGTGCAATAAATTCCAGGTTTGTTTGAAGTACATTCACCCCGTATTTGGCAGGCAAAACTTTCAGTTTTACGAATTAAAATATAAGCCATAAACCACATATTCAGAATGCACTGCTACAATTCCCTGAAAGCTACAAATTTGATGTGCTCAACCATCTTATTATCCTATCGGACGGCACTCTCTCAAATCCAGCTGACAATTAGAGAATGAAACACCAGTGTTGAACATAATTATTGTTAAACTAGCAATTTTCCAATGATACGAAGTAAAATGAATGTTTCAATTTTCTTAAAAATTAAATCAAGAAGCCAATTTAGACAAGTGGTGCATAATTGCCAGTTAAAGTCTGTTGAAAATGCTGGACAGGTAAATGGAACTGTCACACACATCAGTCATAACATAATTAAAATGGTACAAAAGGCTCAAATGGATCAATGGTGGACAGTTATCACAGCATTTCAGCACCTGTTTTCCATTGTCAACAGGAAAAATTAAGTTGCTAGGACCCTGCCAATGTTTCGTCTGGGGTGTGAAGCCGGATTGCAACCACAAAATTATTGCACATAAGCCATTTGCTTAAAGATAATGTGTGTGCATGGCTACACAAAAGAATTATGGGTATAGCTTGGAGAGACTGGGCTTGTTTTCACTGGAATGCAGGAGGTTGAGGGGCAACCTGATAGAAATTTATAAGATTGTGAGTGGCATAGATAAAGTGGAAAGTAGGAAGCTTTTACTCAGGGTGGAGGGGTCAATTACTAGGGTACACAGGTTCAAGGTACAAGGGGGATAAGTTTAAAAGAGATGTGATGTGTGAGGCATGTTTTTCATACAAAGGGTAGTGGATCCTGTAAGTGAAGGTTTCAGAAGCAGATAAACTTAGCCAGGGTTCGCACCAGGCAACATTATTGAAGTGGAAACAGGAGGCCGTTGTAATAGCAATGTCGTAAGAAGCGTACACCACATTCCCAATTTGTTAACTATTAGGTGACATAATGTTTCACAACATTAAGAACAATTTGTCAGTTTCAGGAATTACATGATCATAGTCATGAAATAAATAACTTGCATCTATTTAAGTGTCTTAATATATCCCAAGGTACTTTATAGTTGAAGAAGTACTTTAGAAGTATAACCACTGGTGCAAGTACAGAAACAAGACAGACTGCTGTCCACATCAAGATACTTCAAAACAGTAGCTAGGTAAATAGTCATATCATTTGTGATGCTGGTTGAGAAACAAATTTTGCTCATAACAATGGAAAAACTCCCCTGCTCCTCTTTAAATAGTGCTGTGGAACTTGATATTCACTCAAGAGGGGAGAGATGATTTACTATTTAATTTAAAACACAGCACCTTCAAAAGCACAGTACTCCTTCAGTAATGCACTAAAATATCAGCCTGAATTACACACCCAGTTTCTGGATGCTGCCTGAAATGTGGCTAGTCCCTGGGTTGCACATTGAAACCACGACTTTCTGACGCAGAAGTGGGAGTGTTACAACTTAACCAAAGCTGACAGAACAAATTAAATTTGGGTATGGTCTTAGTCATGAGGTACAAAGGCCTTTCTGTCACATGAGCAATTTAGCCACTTATTTTTTAGGGGAACAGGGGACAAAACAACAACTAGATGGAATGGTAACAAGTACTTTGATACTAGAAGGATCAAATTAATTCAAATGTTTATACTCGTCTGAACTATGAAGTAGAAGTTTACAAAAATGAATGATATAAATTCTTTTAAAGGGTAAGAACTGACTAATCATAACATTTTAAAAGAAATAAAATTAAAAACAAAAGAACTTAATTAAAACAGCATGTTCAATTTCCTAGTATTTCTAACCTTGGTACCATAGTTATTGGAGATTAAACGGACATTGATCAAAGCCTTGAATTTACAAAGGTGTGTTCCGTTTTAAAAAAAGGACAGCAAAAATTCAAGTTGGGTTGTTGCACAACTGTAGACATGGCAGGACCACTACCGACCAGACTATTGTAACAAAAATGGTGGTCTAATTCCTTATCATGAGCTGATTGTCACAAAAAGAGTAAGCATTTGTACTATTCACAGCATTGCTAGCCCATTGAGACATCAGAATTTCGGACCAAAATCAATCTAGCCAAAATAGCAAAATAACACTTAATCACTGATCTATTCTTTGCTCCATTGATGAAACTATGGGATTTAGGCCCAAATGTGTTCTGGAGAACAGAGAGAAACACGATGGGGTGTCTAGACAACAAAGTACGGCAACAATTAAAATAATAGATCTACTTTCTTCTTTTGGAATGTTCCTTAAAACAATCCAGCAATATTCTCAAAACAAGAAGGAAATGTAATTTCATTTTACCCTAAAACAATACAAGGCCAAGGCAAAAAAAAAATCAAGCTTATTAACAATCTATTAGCACAAACAGCCCAGAAATTTGCGCTAATCATCAGCAGTCCAACAGGGTGCCTAACCTTCTACATCGTCCAGGCCACAAGTTCAAGAATATTGCTGTAAATTTAGTACCTACATTTGGTTTTGACTTGAAAAATTAGTGCAGTACTTGTCAATGTGTGTTGTGATGCATGGCATTTTTGATAATTATAATAATTATTAGAAATCATAACTATAAAGAGAAGTTGAAGGAAAAATACATTAGTGTCTTTGAAAATGTTCTGAAGGCATATTTTATCAAAGTATAAAAGGCTGATATTGCTGTACAATTCTACAAAATTCCATAGTTTACAATTTAATTCTGTGCAGGATTGAACAATTTTTGATAACGGCAAATTTAACCTCCAATTGATGGGCTAAATCCAGCTTGAATTCATGATCCTCGAATATTTTTTACAAATTAATTAGTAATAGTAATAGTAATCTGCTCCAAACTGGTTGCAGCAATTTAATCTAAAATGCATGGCACTGTATGCCCCAGGAGAATGCATCCACCATCCTAACAACTGCCGAAAAAAATTCAACCTGTTTAGTTAGACCAGAGTTCACTTCACAAAGCCATACTCATTCTCTTTGATGAGTTTATACCTTTAAACAGATCAAGGTAAAGGACAAGGCTGATGCATTTGCAACCACCTCCATCCAGAAGTGCCAAGTCAATGCTCCATTGTTACCTTCTGCTGAGGTTCCACAGCATCATAGATGCCAGTCTTTACCTGATTTGATTCACATAATGTGGCATCAAGAAACAACTGAAGTCAATAGATATTACCAAGACTCTGGGGCCTGACAACAACCTAGCATTTGGCCAAGTGTGGTATCAAGAAACCCAGAAAAACTGAAGTCAATGGTTGAAGGCAAAACTGTCAAACAGAAAGAAGGCTGTGGTTACTGAAGGCCAATCATCTCAGTCCCATGGCATTACTGGAGTTCCTCAGATATTTTTCTAATTGACCTATTCAGAAATGCAATTTCACACCTCTGGAGCAGGTAGGACTTGAACCTGGCCTCCTGGCTCAGAGATAAAGACATTACCACGATGCCACAAGAATCAGTGCACTATCTTCACCTTCAGTTGCTTCATCAATGACTTTCCTTTTATTATAAAGGTAATAATGTTCACTAATGACTGGCACTGAACAGTGTGCAATCACAATACCTCCAGATACTGAAACTATCTTAATTCACAAGCAGCAAGACTTGGACATCAAGCTGGCTTAGACTCATAACTGGCAAGTAATACTCACACCGCACAAGTGCCAAAAAAATGACATCTCTACCAGGAGAACCTAATTATCTCCTCTTGACACTCAAGTGACATAATCATCACTAACTCCCACATTATTGTGTGTGTATATAAGTATGTGTATAAATATAAATGTGCATGTATGTAACAAATGCGTGTGTCCAGGGGAATTCTGTGGTGAACAATTCCCAATAACCATCTGATACCTAAAAGAGACAAGTCAGAAATGTAATGAAATGATTCCTGCTTGCCTGGAGATGTGGTTCCAAAAAAACAAACAAACAAACAGTCAAGAAGCTCAAAACCAGGTGAGTTACTCACCACATATACCCAGCTTATGACCTGATCTGGTTAACACCAGTGAGTGGGTGGTCTTGGTCAAAACAATGTTGACAGATGCAAACACAGCAATGGTAATGGTATACTACGTTCGGGAGGTGTTTAGATTCTCCTTTATTGGTCCTGACACCTGCATGGGATAAGTGCCAATTGCTACTAAACAGCCTAAGACCACAAGACATGGGAGCAGAAATTAGGCCATTTGGCCCATCGAGTCTGCTCCGCCATTCAATCATGGCTGATAAATTCCTCAAGCCCATTCTCCTGCTTTCTCCCCGTAACCCTTGATTCACCTGATAATCAAGAACCTATCTATCTCAGTCTTAAATGCAGTCAATGACCTGGCCTCCACAGCCTTCTGTGGCAGTGAATTCCATAGATTCACCACTCTCTGGCTGAAGAAGTTTCTCCTTTTCTCCGTCCTAAAAGGTCTTCCCTTTACTCTAAGGCTGTGCCCTCGGGTCCTAGACTCTCCTACCTATGGAAGCATCTTCCCAACATCAATTTTGTCCAGGCCATTCAAGTATTCTGAAAGTTTCAATTAGATCCCCTCTCATCCTTCTAAACTCCAACAAGTATAGTCCCAGAGTCCTCAAACATTCCTCATATGTTAAGCTTTCCATTCCTGGGACCATTCTCGTGAACCTCCTCTGAACCCACTCCAGGGCCAGTACATCCTTCCTGAGATATGGGGCCCAAAACTGCACACGATACTCCAAATGTGGCCTGACCAGAGCCTTATAAAGCCTCAGTAGTACATCCCTGCTTTTATATTCAAGTCCTCTCAAAATAAATGCCAACATTGCATTTGCCTTCCTGACTACTGACTCAACCTAGAAGTTTACCTTGACAGAATCCCGGACTAGATATCTTTATATCTTTGCACTTCAGATTTCTGAATTTTCTCCCCATTTAGAAAATAGTCCATGCTTTTATTCTTCTTACCAAAGTGCATGCCCTCACACTTTCCCACGTTGTACTCCATCTGCAACTTCTTTGCCCACTCTCCTAACCTGTCCAAATCCTTCTGAAGCCTTGCCACCTCCTCAATACTACCTGTCCCTCCACCTATTCTTGTATCATCTGCAAATTTAGCCAGAATGCCCACAGTTCCTTCATCGAGATCATTAATGTACAAAGTGAAAAGTTGCGGTCCCAGCACTGACCATTGCGGAACACCACTTGTCACCGGCTGCCATTCTGAGAAAGACCCCTTTATCCCCTCTCTCTGCTTTCTGCCAGACAGCCAATCTTCTGTCCATGCTAGCACCCTGCCTCTAACACCTTGGGCCCTTATCTTACTCAGCAGCTTCCTGTGTGGCACCTTATCAAAGGCCTTCTTTAAGTCCAGGTAGATAACATTCATTGGCTCTCCTTGGTCTACCCTGCTCATTACTTCCTCAAAGAATTGTAGCAGATTTATCAAGCATGACCTCCCCTTGATGAAACCATGCTGACTTTGCCATATTTTACTATACATTTCCAAATATTCAGAAATCTCATCCTTTACAATGGACTCCAAAATCTTACCCACGACTGAGGTTAAGCTAATTGGGCTATAATTTTCCATCTTTTGCCTTACTCCCTTTTTAAACGAGGGTGTCACGTTAGCGATTTTCCAGTCCTCTGGGACCCTCCCTGACTCTGGCGATTCCTGAAAGATCACCACTAATGCTTCCACTATCTCTTCAGCTATCTCCTTTAGAACTCTGGGGCGCAAGTACAACTGTTGTTCACATCATCTGTCACATGCAAGCAGGGACTGCTTCAGTATCTGAGAAATTGGCAAAGCACAGAGCCTTGAGGTGTTATCAGTAATCATCCCTATTTCTGATTCTTTAGATTGAAGGTACGTCTATTGTGAAGCAGGTGGAGATGATTGAGATTAGAATACCATCGCGAAATGTCCTGCAGCGTCATCCTGCAGTTAAGATGATTTTGTTTCAAAAAATTGCAATCTTCTTCCTTGGTGCTAGGTTTAATTCCACTCACTTGATAGTTTTCCTGCTGATTCTCATTGTCTTCAAGTCTGCTAAGGCTTCTCAATATTACAATGAATTCATTTGTGTATTATTATTTGAAAAACGTAATTAATAAAGCATTTACCTTATCTATAGTGTTGTTATCAAGTTCTATTTCCATTGATTTTGGTCTTAGTTTGATTGGTTTGTCTTTAAAAATATCTCCAAAGCCAAATCCTTTTATCTTTTTTGGCTGAATTTCTGTTGCTGATGCATTATTTGATCCATCTGCCAACTTCACAGCAACTCCATTTGTAGTATCCTGTTCAGGACTTCCTCGGTCTTTCGCATCTGAAAGCACATTGAACCACTTTAATGAAGGGAAAAGAATGCTGCTATCGTATTTGACCACAAAAATAAAGTCAATAGTGCTGAACCTAATCATGTTTCCATTCAATATGCACACTTCCTAAAGGGATCAGGAAGCTACTTCATCTTCCCTGTTCCAGGGAAGACGACCGATTGCGACAACCCTACTGGTGGACTGACTGTGGTCAGCCTAAAAAAAAGACAGAGGTTTGAAATCAAACTTTGCAGCACCATGACCTGTATAGTTCAATTACTTTCTTTCCAGTGTGGAATTTTTTTTATCCTTCACATACAGCCTTTCCACATCATCAACAAGGGAATAAGCACAGATCATGAAGGCTGAAAGAAATCAAACAGGCTTAATTTTGCCTTGTGTTACATATTATCACCATGAACTTTTACATTTAATTTCTTCACAGAAATAGATAGTCGTGGAATGGTCAGAAAAATAAGAAGCACACGTCGCAGACAAAAAATGAAGCAGAAAGTTATCCGAACAAGGGTGAAACCGAGGACTAACTAGAAGAGTTAACATACTAAAACAGTTATCACCTGGAAATATCCAAAGACAAAGACAACGTTATTAAAGCAAAACTAGAAACCAATTAACGATAATCTTTTATAAAGCAATAAACTCAGACCACAGAAGGAAAGCATCTTCAGACCACCACATTACTGCACACAGGTACATATTTATCTACATGTTCCAAATTAGAAATAGATAGCGAATATACAATATGAATTTCACTGAAACATATTTTCTGAACCTACTCGTTTTTATTGTGGTATCATCGTGTGTGTTAGCTGTTTCCTCTTGTTCATCTGGAAGCTCTTTAATAAAATTTGATGGAAACATTCCACTTTTACCATTGAGGATGCCTTCCCACCAGCCTTCTTCAACCTAAAATAAAACACACATAATACATTATATAAACAAAATAGTTACACATTCGCCCATTAAATCTAAATTTTAAGTCAGAAAATGTCCTTTCCACTAACAAGCAAGGGTAAATTAAGTCAGTTGCCCTGCGAACAGATAGCTAATTATCATGATAACTCCCCAAGGATGGAGTTAACTTCACCAAGTGACTCAAGCTGAAGCACAAGGGTTGGAACCCAGCCAAAATATTAAGATCTTCTAACTTTACCGGAACATTTTATATGAATCAACTATTGGGACCATACTGTATTAAATATCCAGCTGTATTTCCTGGTCAGACAAGGCGAACAATCTTTATGTAGGGGACAGCTTTCAATCAGATGGAATGAAATGTTATCCATTTCAACATACTATCCATGGATAATGTAAACAGTTACATTTCAGAAAAGGCAAGAGAAGAGCAGAGAGTTGCTGTGTACATACATGCTAAATCCATGGACACAAACAATAAACCAATCTATCTTTCCTTCACCCAAAGGAACATGAGCTAGTGTGGAAACTGAATATTACAAAGTTACACTGGAGGTCTTAATTTTCTTGATACAATTATTTTGCGTTGGTTTAAAGCAAGAGTTTAGTGGAGAATAGAATTTTAAATATAGCCTTTTTGTTAGGGGAAAACGGAAGATTAAACTGGATGTCTTTTGGATTAAATTGGATCCAAAGAAGATATGCCTGGTACTAGGAAATTGGAAGGCATCAGTTTTCTGTTGCAGACTTGTAACCGTACACCAACAGTGTTGTTGCAGCATTACTGGCCACTGTTGATTAGTCTCAGCTCAGCTATTAAGCTGTCAAGATCCCATTATGTACTCATGTTTATAAAGGCACAGATGGGGAGTGTCCTCACTCCTCTCATTTTATTCCCTTCAGTGATATTATCTGTAAGCACAGGATTAGATACAGGCATCCAACTTTATTTCACGATCAACTTGAATTCCACAACTGCGACATATTCCTGTCTATCAAGCGGCAACTGACAGAAATTTTTCTGCAACTTTGCTAGAATCAAACCTAACTTTTTCGGCTTATGTTAGGACAAACCTCCTTCAGCTGAAATTGCACTATCATTCCCCAGTATCATCGCAATATAAACTTAGAACTCTGAACCCTCAGCAGCATTTGACCTCAAGCTACATTTCCTTCTTACATCGGATATTTTGCTATAATCAATCCAGTGTGGAGGTGGAGGAACACTGCAGGTCAAGCAGCAGAGCAGTAGGAAAGTTGATGTTTCGGGTTTGCACCTTCATCAGGACTTTGGGAGGGGGGAAGAAGGGTGTGGGATGGTGCAAGATGGATGCAGCTAGGGGGTAGTGGCTTGCTATCTCCTATTTCCTTCCACCACTGCGATCTTCATCATCTTCATTAATTTTCTCAAGGGTAAATATTTTTTCCAAAAAGCAAAATGCCCCCTTTACTAACCCAAAAATGCAAAACACTGGTTCATTCAGAACTCTACAGGCCACATCCCTTGCTCATAGAACGAAATTTTAAAATGCACTATTTGCAGCCATTTTAACACTGAACTTGGCCATTATATGTCAGCTTTATTTTATCTGCATGTATTTTGACTGCCGTGCTGGGAGGCAAGGGAAAGAGAAAAATTGAAGTACAGAATCACAGAATAGTTATAACAAAGAATTGTTTCTATCTACCATGCAATTTCATGACATTCAATGCATAAGGGCTATAATGAAATGTTTCATGGAAAAACTTTTGATATTGACATTTATTCGTCCATCTCCCCCTCATCTTTATTATCTTCTCTATTATTTATATATGGTTACTTTGAAATAAATTATGTGCATTTGAGAAAGGGGTGATAATATGAGAGTAAATGTCGAAAACTTAAATTTCATTTTGCATTTTACTGGTTGGCACCTTTAAATACTGCTTAATAAATGGCATTTCCTACTCATCACTTTAGATTCAACTGAACAATCTTTGCAAATGTTATGCTCACTTGTTACTCAGATGAGCTGCTCAAAACACCAATTGGGTAATTGATATAAACATCTAAGAAATTACAACCTGTTATGAACTGAGATTTCCTTTTAACAAAGTGGCACACTGACTCTCTGAACATCATAGAGACACAAAAGTTCCAGGCTTGCTCCATTCATTACAATCCAAATCTTGTTCAGTAGGCAGGGTTCAAAGCTAAGTCCGCATCTTCCAGTGGAAAATCACTTAGAGAAGTCATACAAATGTTCTGACATCTGATATCCATACAGCTTCACAACTGATGCAACTGAGCCAGATGAGAAGTCAGAATAAAATCCTGGGGCAGTACTGGCTTGGTAAAGCTAGCTGAAAAACTGGATTTGTGCAAGTGCTAGAGTACAGTTTTCATTAATACAGTGCAGCATGATCCCAGGAAAGAAAAGATGGACCACCAGAACATAAACAAATGTTGACATTGACACAGTCTGCAATGGAGTGGATTTTGATGGAATTCTGAAATTAGATATTTGAGAGAGGGAAGTCATTGGAATCCCTCATAAAAGTTTAATGAGATCCAATGACCCACAGTATCACTAGCATCCTTGTTTCTGCCTGCTCCTGCCCCACAGAACTCCTCTCTTCCTACCTCACTAGTTTTTTTTCTCTCCTTGTCCAGTCTCCACGATTCCTCTGACACTTTACATCAGTTTCAGAATTTCCAGTTTGTGGGCACCAAATGCGTCTTTACCATGGACATACAATCCCTTTACACATGCATCCCCTGAAAGCCCTGAACTATTCCCATCCACAACCAGCCTCCTCTGCTGGCCGAGCTTGTCCTCACCCTGAACAACTTCTCTTTTAACTGATTTTACTTTCTTCAGATCAAAGGAATAGCCATGGGTACCTGCATCGGCCCTAATTATACCTGTCTCTTTCTAGGGTACGTGGAACATTCCTTGTTCCAGTTCTATTCCAGGCCCCACCCAGAACTCTTTCTCCAATATATTGAGTGATATGATCAGCGCTGCATCCCTCTCTCATCCAGAATTGAGAAATTTCATCATTTTTGTTTCCAATTTCCACCCTGCCCTCAGCTTCACCTAGTCCATCTGACTCCTCCATCCCTTTCCTCAACATCAGTTTCCATTTTCCTCCCACAAGAGCAATAGGGTCCCCCTTGCCCGAACCTACCATCGCACTAGCATACACATCCAAAGGATCATTAGCCACCATTTCCTCCATCTCCAGTGGAATGCCACGAGTCATATATTTCCCACCACTCCCTGATCAGCCTTCCACAAGGACTGTTCCCTCAGGGACACCCTGTCCACTTTGTCTTTCACTCCTAACACCACACCCCCCCAAACAGCCCTATGTCACCCTCCCCTGAAACCATAGAAGGTGTAACACCTACCCAATTACTTCCTCCCTCCTCAGTATCCAAGGGCGCAAACACACCTTCCAGGTGAAACAGCGGTTTACCTGGACTTCACTCAACCTAGTCTAATGCGTTGCTGCTCAAAATGTGGTCTCCTCTAGACTGGGGAAACAAAGCATAGAATGGACGACCGCTTGCATTCTGTCCACAAAAAAAAAAAACCCTGAGCTTCCCCTTGCCTGCTACTTCAACAAACCACCTTGTTCCCTGACCAACATATCTGTCTCTGGCCTGCTGCAATACTCCAGACAAGCTCAGCGCAAGTTGAAAGAACAGCACCTCATTTTCCACTTGGGAACTTTACTGCCTCTGGACTCAATATTGAGTTCCAACAATTTCTGGGTTTGTGAGCCTTCCCCATGCTTTCCTCAACTCCATACACCAAACCTTGATTTCACATGGTCTGCTATTACTGACAACCCATGGTTAGTCACCGAAAACAAAACATGCCTGGAGATTACAGTGGGTCAGGCAGCATCCATGGAGAGAAAGCAAGCTAACATTTCAAGTCAACAGGAGTCTTCAGAGTTGAACTGAAGTGTGGTGTGGGTAGCATTTATGCAATGGCGGGGTGCATGGTTGGAGTGCTGGGGGAGAAACGATGTCGGTAGTTCAGATTAAGTGATCGGAATGTGAGACTGGCAGAACAATGGTGTGTCTAACAGCCAGACCGGAAAGAAAAGACAGTCCCACTGGAGCTGGGGGAGGGGAAAGAGGACATGATGACAGAGAACGTAACAAGCAAAGCTGAAAGGAAGAGTAGAAATGGGGTCACAATTTGAAGCTGTTAAAATCAGTATTGAGCCCAGAAGGTTGTAAAGTGCCTTGTTTGAAGATGGGATGTTGGTTCTCCACTTTACACTGTGATTCGCTGGAGCATTGCAGCATGCCAAAGACAGACAAGTGGCACGCAAGCTGGAAGCTGTGTTAAAATGACTAGCTACAGGAAGGTTGGAGTCATACTTGCACACGGATAGTCCCCAGTAGCAGCTATTCATTCTCCAAGGCTGACCATTACCCATTCCTTTGTCTGTTTTTCTCTCTTTTTGAGCTCTATCTCCATCTGCTCACCCCTCCCCACTCCCTATCTTCTACACAAAAAACAACTTTTTCCTAGAAGTTCCGAAGAAGGGTCACTAGACCCGAAAGATTAACTCCAATTTCTCTCCACAGATGCTGCCAGAACTGCTGAGATTTTTCAGCAATTTCCGTTTTTATTTCTGATTGCCAGCAACCACAGTTCCTTCAGTTTTTTTTTGTTTCTGATCTCTTTTTCGGCAGTGGTGAGCAGGGGTTTGTGGGGGGAGCTGGTAGGAAGATTGCTGAGAAGTCCATTGAACGTGTCTGGATTACATTTTCTGTCTGATGTGCACTGTGAGGTACCTGACCAGAGTTTCTGTTATCCTTATTTCTCTCAAGTTAATTCTGGTTGTTAATTCTGGAAGTTGTGTGTATACATGGTATAGATTGTATTACAGTTCTAAGTTATATAGTTAACCTTATGTTGTTTGTTGAAAACTGTGGAATCTTGTGGCTTTATTCTCTTAGCAAGTCCTGGATGGCTCACTTTGTCTGCGTTAAAGAAGTCACTGGTCCCTAGCCAAATTGTAACATAAATTTGGTGGTCTGCTCTGAAATATTGATACCTGCTGAGCATTTCCATTTCTGTTCATGTGTTTAATCATCTCAATTATGTTACCTCAATCTTTTTCACTTGAGGGAATACCAGCATAATCCAGGGAAACTGTTCTCCCAATTTAACATTTTAATCCACTGGTATGATTCTGGTGAATCTGCACTGCACCTTCTCCAAGTTGACGATATGATGACTGAGCTAAGGTTTATAGAAATGGACATAGCACTACCCAACACTTTACACACCTGTATCATAACTTTCACCCCATTAAATTCCAGATCCCTTGAGATAAATACTAAGATATCATTAGCCTTAATTTTTAAGATACATATTCACCAATGTTTAGTGATTTCAACAAATGGATCCCTAAATCTTTCAGCACCAGAGTTTCTGGCATCTCATTATCAAACAAGTGATCCTTTCAAGCTTTCACAAATCCAAAGTTAAAATTTATAAAATTGTACAAAATTAATCATTAACTATTCCTCAAATATTTGAAATTAAAGTCACACCACACCATTATTCATGCGCTAATATCTTATACATACTTCACCAAGTACTTCAATTATTTCACCGATTTTCAGCTCCAGTTCATCTTCATTCTGAGGTGCATAACTAAATGCCACTTGACATCTTCTTGATCTAATTTTTTCAGCTGAGGAAACAAAATTCAGAGTGTAAGAAGGCCCATATAGGATGGAAGGTTTTTTTTCATGGACAATACAAATATATTCTGACAAAACAGATGAATATAGTTTGCCAAGTATGCATATCATGGTTCAATTTGATCCCAAATACAAATAGTGTTAGAGAGATGGTAATATGGAAGTTTAAGAAGATATCATTAATAGTATGAAACCAATATCAAAGTAGAATTTGTTCAATTTCCTTCTGGATATATTTTTACTTATTACTACATATCTTTGCATAGGATCCTCTATTACTGGAGGCACAGTGGACAGCAAAGAAGGTTACCTCAGAGTACAAAGGGATCTTGATCAGATGGGCCAATGGGCTGACGAGTGGCAGATAGAGGTTAATTCAGACAATTTTGGAAAGGCAAATCAAGGCAGGATTCATACACTCAATGGTAAAGTTCTGGTCAGTGTTGCTGAACAAGCAGGCCTTGGAGTGCAGGCTCATAGTTCCTTAAAGTGGAGTCGCAGGTTGACAGGAACGTGAAGGCGGCATTTGGATTGCTTGCCTTTATTGGTTAGTGCAACGAGTATTACAGTTGGGAGGTCATGTTGTTGCTGTACAGGGCTTTGGTTAGGCCACTTTTGGAATACTACTTGCAATTCTGGTCTCCCTGCTATGGGAAGGATGTTGTGAAACTTGAAAGGGTTCAGAAAAGATTTACGAGGATGTTGCCAGGATTGGAGGGTTTGAGCTCTAAAGGAGAAGCTGAATAGGCTGGGGCTATTTTCCCTGGAGGGTCGGAGGCTGAGGGGTAACCTTATAGAAGTTTATAAAAACGTGACTAGCATGGAGAGGGTAAATAGACAAAGTCTTTTCCCAGGGGTGGGGGAGTCCAAAACCAGACGGCATAGGTTTCAGGTGAGAGGGGAAAGACTTGAAAAGGACGCGAGAGACAACTTTTTCACGCAGAGGGTGGTGCATATCCATATATGAGCTGCCAGAGGAAGTGGAGGACACTGGTACAATTACAACATTTAAAAAGGCATCTGGATGGGTATATGAATAGGAAGGGTTTAGAGGGAGATAGGCCAAATGCTGGCAGATGGGACTAGGTTTATTTAGAATATCTGGTCAGCACAGACAAGTTGGACCAAAGGGTCGGTTTCCCTGCTGTACATCTCTATGACTATGAATCTACTATACTATCTCAGGTAAAACATAGCAGAAACTGGAGTCACTCTGAATTGTGCAGACTGGAATAACTAGGCATAGTGCTAGCATAACAAATTTCTCAGGACAATCAACTGATTAAAACATTGACAAAGGGATTGAAAAAGAGATTCCATCTGAATATCTCTAAAATGGATTTAGTACAACATTAATTCCATGGCGTGACTTCACTGATGCGTACGGTGATTTTTGATTCCATATTTTTCTGTGTTTAAAACACACTTAATATCCCATTAACTTCCCTGTTATTTTTACTTACAAAATTCATGCCATCCCTTACTTGCACTTCTACTTCTCCCAGTCTCCCCAATATGTTTTGTCCTACATTTCATGTCTGAGTCTTGTACCTGAAGTTACTAAAAATACCTTACAAGTTCACAATTCTTTTAACTTCCTTCACAAATTTTTTCTCCCCCCCCAACTTTACACATTTTCTCCTTGGAAATCATTCTTGGCTCAGTTGGTAACGCTACACGATATATTTGAAAACATTCTCTAAAATGTATGACTCTTCGTGTTAGCCTTGGCTCACAGGTAACATGCTGACTCTCAGTGCAGTACTTGTGCAGTCAGAAGCAACTTCCATAGGAGAACCTAAATCAAGGCCTTGTCAGATTGATATGAAAAATCTCATGATCCAATTCAAAGAGGAGCGTAAGAGTCATCTCAGTGATCTGGCCAACATTTGTCATTCAATTAAAACCTACAAGCCAGTTAGGTGCCCATTTGTGTAGGAGCTTGCTTTATGTAGAGTGACTGCCATTCATTACAATCATGATGATATTTCTTAGTGATGTAAAGTCATTAAAGGTGTTGTATAAATTGAAGTTGTTTTGTTTTCTGCTGCATGCAATGACATGTTAGAACACTGTTACACAAAACAGCCCTAGTAGCCACTGTACGCCGATAGCAATCAAGGTTTGTTTGACCTTGAGAGGAACATAGACAAACCAAACCATAGTCATGCATTGTCAGCATTCAAACATTTCAACTTTCTACCAGAGGCCATTAGATTGGAAGAACAAGAACTCCACCTAATTTATTCCCTTTTCTTGTAGCTGAAAACCCAGCTCAGTTCTAATGACCCCTGCTCTGCTTAGATCAGCATTCTTTTCTAATAACAAACTTTAGACTTCCCTATTCAGGAAATTGACTCAACAGAGCTGCCAGATTTAGCTTCACCAGTGGTATAGTGATTCATTATCAAACTGATCCAAACCTTTCGATAAAAATTGCCAATTCCTTCAACTTATAAAGCATATTTTTAAAAATTAACAAAGTTTTTTAAAACTCTGATAATTTTAATGGCATACAGCAATAAATTGATTTGTACTGAAAAAGACCACTCAGCATATTTAACGTTTCTTGGTTAAGAGTGTGAAGACAAATTTGAGAATTTTTAATGTAATACCAAACAGTGGTTAAAATGTATAAACTCTGAAAACAGTTCCTCTCTGTCCATTACATGCCTCTTCCATTTTCCTTGGGCTCCATTTACTTGCACAAATAATAAGTTTGCTATAGAATGTACAGGCACCATAAGCAGTCTCTGTAAATGTACAAAACTGCCTTTACTTGCAATCTCACTTACCACTCAAGAGGAAACAAAATAATCCAGTGATATGTGATAAATATTTTGAGGCTGTGGTTGGGCCACAATACATCTTCACTCTATGTCAATGCATCTTTGACAAAGTTTGATTTCAATGCCACAAATGAAGTGTTCCACTGCAAGCTTAATATCCCTCCCTTTGATGATAAATTTTAATGTGCACACAAAAAATTCCAACATTCAGAGGCCAAACAAACTATAACAATAAAAAAGGACTCCATCTAAACATGCAATGTAAACAGAAGATATATCAAGTCCTTGCATGTGACAATTTGATTTGTCACCATAAACATCCCAAAGATGTCAGATAAGCAAGGTGCCAATGGGAGAAAACCTCTTGTAATAATTTTTACCATGAGGAACAAAGTAGTTGACAAACAAATTGATCTGATAGGAGACAAAATCACCAGGACTTGATGACTTACATTCAAAGATTTTAAAAGAAAGTGACTGCGGGCATAGTGGATATATTGGTCAATATATTCCACAACTCACTGAACCCACTGGGGTAGTATAAGGGGTAATGTATTAGCATGGATTGAGAACTGAGTAAAACACTGAAGACTGACACAAGATTAATGGCTCTTTCTCAGCTTGAAAAACAAATAGATTCGAGTGCAACAATGCACAGTCCTCGGGCCTCAATTATTTTCTATTTATATGAATGAGTTAGAGGATAGAGCCAGAGTATAATTTATCCAAATTTGCAAGTGAAACAAAAACAGGTGGGAGGGAATGTTGTAATGAGGATACAATGAGTCTCTAAGAGGATACAAGTAAGTTGGGCAAAACTTGGAAGACAGAGTTTAAAGTAGGAAAGTGTGAGGTTATGTACTTTGGTAGGAAGAATCAGAAGGCAGACTATTTAAACTGAAACTGATATCAAAAAAATGCAGCATATGGGGATCTAGGAAATTTTCTGCATGAAATACAAACAGTTACCATGCAGTTGCAGCAAATAATTAAGGAGGCAGACTGAATTTTGAGTCTTATTGCTAGGGGCCAGGAGTTTAAAGAGGCAAGTCTTACTGTAACTGTATAAGACGTTGGCGAGGCCATATCTGGAGTACTATTTATAGTTTTGGTGCCACTAAGATATACTTAAAAAAGAATATGCTGGCATTGACGGCAATTCAAGATAGATTCACTCGAAAAAGATGATGAAGTTGGAACTAGAAGCAAAAAGACTTCAAAATGGCAGAAGGAAAAGTACAATATAGTAGTGAGGGTGAGCAAATCATCGTAGCCAAAAGCCTGGTAGGGGTACATACAAATATGTCCAAACATTACCAACATTCAATTAAGAAGATGTAGAAGCCTTTTTTATTTCCTTTGAGAAATTGGCTAGGCAGATGAATTGGCCAGAGTCTGGGTGGATAATGTTAAATGAGACCAAGTGGCAGGGCTAATGAGGTGTTTGCAACACTGATGAGGTGTCAAGGGATTATGAAGATGTTAAACAAGCTATCTGGAGTGCCTACGAATTGGTACCAGGAGCATATAGACAATGGCTCAGAAATATGAGGAAGGAACCAGGTCAGACTTACATCGAGTTTGGAAGAATTAAACACAGCAACTTCAATAGATGGGTGAAACCATTAAAGATAGAGAATACATACGAGGGTGCTAAAGAGATTATTCTGCTGGAAGAGTTCAAAAAGTCACTTCCAGAAATAAGAACTCATGTTAAGGAACAGAAAGTCAAAATGGCGAGAAGAGCTGCTGAGATGACGGATGAATACGCATTAGTGCATAAATCAAAATCCAGCTTCTGACAGCAATTTCATTCCATGAGGGATAGAAATTGGGAAAAAGGGAGATCTTTCAAATTTAAAAAAAAAAATCACACTAGGAACAGTTTACCACAGGTGGAGAAAAGAAACCCAACAGGGTGAAAAGGAGGTGAAAGGCTTCAAGTGTTTTCATTATAATGGAGTGGGACACAAAGTCACAGTGCCGTGGTTTAAGAAAGGCACAGGGGAAAAATAGATGTGGTAAAAGAGCCTAAACCAGTGGGATTATTTGAGGTAGTGAATGAAACCCCAGAAGTAGTCAAGGAGTGCAAGAGAGTCAAGGGCTGGATAGTAAGATAGCGTCCGATCTCTACAAAGTCTTTGCCTTTGTGGGTAAGGTTTATTCAGGAAGAATGGGGGGGGAAGAAGGTAAAGAAGTTA